ATTTCAATCTTTGCAATATTTAAGAAAATTTTTCAGAGGACAAAATCAATCCTGTGCGGAAAACCAATCATTTGGTGTGGCATTAACTGGGATGCCAGAATTCGAGAATTAGACGTATCAGTAAATGTGAATCAATTTTATTATTTTATTTTATAACCACCGTTGAACAGCCGACCCAATTTTTGCATTTAAGACCACTAATGTTCAACCACGTAGCCTTGTAGTTTTAAACCCAATCCAGAAGACAATGGAACTCCTGGATCAAGTATTGGGAGAAATTTGCCTTCGTGGAAGACTTTTTGATGAAACTAACCCGCATTTAAGTTACACGGAGAGGCAGTCCACGTGAACCTTCCACGGTTAGCCTGACGGCGGCAAGGGGACTCCAACCCATGATCCGTCTACCACTGAGCAGTAATTTAAATGGGAAAAATTCACTACCTTCGTATTTTAATTTTAGCTCTGTAATGAATTCAACAAATGTTTTTGGACACAGTCTCACTGCAAGGCTATAGAAGTACGGCATCACTATGCGCTCTGCTTAACTAAGCCACTGGTGATAAATCTGCTTTTTCTACGCATATATCTTTTATTGCAAAGGTGTATGCATTTAAGATAATAATAAAAATGATATAATTTCACTTCTCCCAAAAAATAATTTTGTTCTTTTCCTACTAAACTTTTGCTGATAAATGCGATTTCCTCCTATTTTTCCTGTGGCTATGAATTAAAGATGTAAGTTTTGTTGAAAAAAAATCACCCTAAGATAATTTTGAAAATATATTTCTTATAAACAGTAGAAGAGGAATTTATCAAATTATATTTGGTTGCAAAGACACTCAGAAAAGTTTGATAAAATTCCTTGATGAATCCTTTCACTTATCAAAGAAGAAATTTTACACCACATTGTTATCCTTCAAAACAGATAGAGAAATTGGGGGTAGCTAGGAGAATCATTATAATAAAAATTTAATTCCAACTCATAATTATCAGTAACAATACTTTATACAATTTTACTATACATTACATGACTAATCATTATTTCTTTGGAGCCTTTTTTAAAAAAAGTGGTACTAATTTTAATTTGTCCTCTCCGACCTTTTTTTCAAATTGTAAAACATTTTCAGACTGTGGGCGAAATAATTCATACTATCGGCAATTTTTTTGTAACTTGTTTATGTTTTTTTTAAAAATATTTTCTTCGTATAATAGCCCATGAAGTAAAACATATCACTTGGGGGTAGATTAAGGGCACATTTGTGATTGAATGAAAAAATCTAATTTGATCTTATTTTATTTCCCAAGTGCATCTTTAAATTTGATCGTTTTTATTATTAATACGATGAAATTTAGTGATATGATTTTTTTTCTTTTTATTTAACAACTGAATAGAAAAATTAAAGCTTAATTATATTGTAAAAATAAAACTCTTTTTTATAATCATTTGTAAGTTATATTATAAAGGAATAAAATAAACTAGAGGGGGGGGGGGAGAAGGCTTGCTGAACTCGTCAACTTATAGAAAGCTTTACCATACAAGGTCACTTTGATCACTCATTGAATACTTCTATATTTAATTTTAGCTTTCATGGTACTTTTTTAAAATGAAGTTCCAAGAGTATTTCGACGGTTACATCCTGGAAAAACTTTGATTTCATTTAATTCAATTTGTATACATAGCTATTTAATTTATATGGGTCATTCTCAGAAAAGTGGCCATTTCACGGTATATTTTTGAAAAAAAGAAAAGTAGTCAAAACTATTAATATCATCAGCTATACATATAAACTGTTATTATTTGCTTATTGGAATTATATTTAAATTGTTTACAAATAAAATTTGTTAGGTATGGTCAATTATATATATGTATAGTAAATATTAATTTATAAATTAAGTTTTATTCATATTATATTTATATTTAAGGCACTTAAAAAAATTAGAAAACTTTTTATCTCTTTCCCTTGGAAATTGTTCCCTCACAAAATGTAATGACTTTACATAAACAGTAGATGGCAGACTTATGCTGATCAAATTTAGTTTGGTATAGCAGCTAAGAGAAGAAGTGATTCCGTTTTCAGTTGGAATTCATTCTGCAGTGAATGGACACATGGTTCGTAAATTCTAGATCAATATTTTTACTGTATGCCATTCCCACATTTATTATAAAATTAATAAAAGATGTTTGTTTTTTCTTTTGTTAAATTGATAAAAATGTGTTTCCAATAACATTTAGTATTTGAGAATGTTACTAAGCTTAATGATTTTTTAATTAAATAGTTTATGGAAGAAACTTTTTCCTCATTTTTACACATGAGGAATGAATGATTGATACTTATACAATAAAACGAGTTAATAGTTCAAGAAATAAAGTACCTGCAGACCAAACTTTGAAATTTTTAAAGCAAATTCATATAAGCTTATTTTTTAAAGGACTATTTTTTAGAGAATGATCTATGTAAAGTTTAATGTGCATGGAAATTTCATTTGAAACAAATATTCTTTAAAATTTCTTTACATACAACTATTATAAGTTTCGGTATTTGAAGACAACAGTTATAAATCTTTTACTCTAAACTTAGAAAATGAATAAAAGGAAAAAAAAAAGCTCATTAATAAAATTTAGGTTGGGTTGATATGCTGCATATTTCCGGCTGATCTCCATTGACAAAATGCAACTCTCTTCTGCGTTAGATATTAAGCATTAAAATATAACTCTAAATTATTAAGCTACTTGCATAAATTAATGAGCATAAAACAAAAATATAGAAAAGTTTGTTTATGTAAACTGTTTTCCTTTAACATTTCACTTTTGCTTAACTTCCCTCGGTTTGCTTCAGCATTTTATCGTTCACACAGGAAATATCTAAATGGAAGCAGTTTACACATATATTTGAAAGGCATATTAGACGTTTCCCGTTTCATGCTTATAATTTTTCACTCTTTGGATATTTCAAATAGTTGTAGCCGATGAAAAAAAGAAAATTTATCGGCTTGAGGAAAACATATCTAAATGAGCATTAGAGTTTTATATAAATATAGGGTTGCCACACAAAAAATACCAAAAATAAAGAAAAAAATTATTTAGTAGCACATGAAATTTAAAAAATAAAGCAGTATAAAAAAATATAAAAACTTACACTAAGTAATGATCAGTAAGATTAAGAAAATAATTGTTCAACTAAACTTAAATATGCAAGTTAGCAAGGATATTTATATTGAAAGCTATTGCCTTTCGCTATCGCATTTCCAGAAGATTTTATTAGTATTACTTTCGCTCAATAGAACAGTCAATCTACTTTCTTCTTGTCAACTGTAAACTTATCAACACCCAACTTATATAAGCCTTCCAATAAGAGAACCAGGTTCAGATCCCACCGATAGCTAGCACCGACCACAGTGCAGACGTAAAATATCCTCAGGGGTAGACAGATCATGGGTTACAGTCTCCTTGCTGACAGGCTAACTGTGGAAGGTTTTTCTCTCCATGTAACACAAATGCAGGTTAGTTCCAACAAAAAGTTCTTCACAAAGGCAAATTTCTCCCAATGATTGATCAAAGAGTTCCCTTGTCTTCTGAATTGGGTTCAAAATTACAAGGTTACGGAGTTGAACATTAGTAGTCGTAAACCAAAAATTTGGTCGGCCGTTCAATGTCAGCTATAAAATAAAACTTATCCATGCAATTTTTTCAATGCATCCTCATTAAAAATAGGTATGCTCAGGTCTAGAGCAAGGTTTTGAAGGTTGGATCAAGAGCCCAAAGTTCTTGTGGTACAGATAGATTAAATATTAGGACTAAGTACTTTTCAGTAATTACTATAAAATTTTTACAATTTTTATTGCAAAACACCTTTTAATTTAGCATCTCATTTAGTAATTCCAGTGGTAAATTGATCTATTTTTTAAAAATATTTTTTAGTTGGACTCAGAATTATCATGCAAAACAAAAAAGCTTAGAATTTTTATATGTTTTTCATTCTTTCTTTTTTAAAAAGATGATGATTTTACAAAAAGTATTTTTGTAATTTATCACAGCAAAATTATCCAAATCTTAGATAATAATTAGAACCAAAGAATGAAAAAAAAATACTAACCTGAATAAGAGAAAAGTAATATGAAGGTATAGATACTGATTGTAACAAAATTAATTATCCTAACTGCAAAAGGGGGAAGGGACCTGAACAATAGGATTTTCATACATAAAGACTCAATCTTAATGGTTTAAGAGCATTACTTTAAATTATTGCAGATGAAACACTAAGTTACAAAATCAGACACAAAAAGGTACTTTCTCTCAATAAACATACCTTCTTTTTAACAGATTTTGATTCTTGACACTTAAAATAAAGCGGGTAGCCACAAATGTGGGAAGTATGGTCCCATTGTTGGACTAAGAGAGCAGTTGAAAGTTTGGAACTATTAATGTCAATTTTACGTTTTGCGTATTTTGCCATAGCTTGAGAACTATTAAAGCAAATATATATATTTTTTCAAAAATTTATAAAATTTTTTACATTAAAAATAATTACATGCAAATTTTTTTTATTAATAATTATATTTTATTTATCAATAAGTAAAAAAATATGAATTGTAAGGCATGCAAATTTTTAATTTTTTTTTTTTGAAGAATGAAGAATTTTATGTGGCAAAATACAACATTTGAAAACAAACAGTAAAGTAGTTTCTGAGTTTCCAATTTTAAAAAAAAGTAGTATATTTAATACAGATACAGACTGTAACGAAAACTATTTGACCGATTTGTGCATTGCACACTTTTATCACCATAAAATGTAATATGTGGTGTTAATTTAAAAAAGTAATAAATCTATATTATTTCAAATAGGTGGAAAATAATAATAATAAAAAACATTTTCAACTCTCATAAAAAAATATTTGTTATTATTTGACTTGTAAAAAACTATTTAATTTCAAAAGAGAATCAACAAAATTTATATTTTAGATATTCAAGAAATAGAAGTATCAAATTAGAAATAAAGCAATGAAGTATAAAAATATTTTACTATTCAATAGAATATTTACAAATTAAAACAATATAATTTACAAGATGTAGGATGATTGACAAGATTAGCATATCTTTGAAATAAATAACATTTTTATAACAGAGTTAGAAAAAGTCACTAGCTTTGCTTCTTTTTGGTTTTGTTAATAATGTTTCAGTATGCAAGGGAGTGATAACAGTAGTTTTAGGAGAGGGCGTAACAGCTGGAGTTCCTGGTGTAGAGGAGATAATGGGAGTTTTGCTTCCATTGGGTGTCCGCAAAGGAGAGGGGGAGTAGCTGGCTCGAAGAGCTTTGTCAGTATCTCTTTGAATACCTAATTTGGCATATGCTAATTTACGTGCAGCTGGCGACATACTTTGTAGCTTTTCTAGTGGTGTAAGTGATCCTACTTTTGGAGAACTGCAAACAGATAAACAATAAAAATAATTTTTAAAAACAAATGATCATACAATGTTAATTTTATAGATAGATCGTGGGCTCCACCCCATGCTTGCTCTTCTGCTTCTCTCATCAACCCCACAATTGTTTTGATTCAACAAAATTAGTTTCCATTTCTTTTGCAAGAATATTTTAACCTAATAATTTTGATTTGTTACCATCGTAACTTCATCCACAATATTTTTCTTTTAAAATTTTGATTACTATAAAACCAAACTATTTTCAAACAAAGAGATTGTTTCGTAAAAGAGTGCAGAACATTACTTTTTAAAATTATCTTTAACTTTTAAATAATTTTTTGGTATTTTTAACTACATACATTGATGACACACTTTTTATGATAAAAATAATTTTAAAAAAATTGATGTAAGTGTAGTGTAGTGTACAATAATTTATAGAGAATAGCTAAATATCTATATCCTAAATGTTGTTGCATAATAAGATAATATCATGCAAATACTATATCAAAAAAGAACCTTTATATTTTCAAGCCTTTAATTTTGCACAACAATCAAAATCAAAGCAAAAAAATAAGATTAAAAAAATATGACAGATATATATTTTATAGATAAATACCAAGATAATTTTTTTCTTAATGCTAATGATAACCAAAGATATCTGGGTGTTCCTAGTAGAGTCAAAATAGTATTGTGTTTTTTCTATCTAATGAGAACAGACGATAATTATCTGTAGGGTTCAGAAAGAAAAAAAGAATTCCCCAACTTTCCTTCAGGAAAATTTCAATGTAAATCCAGACCATAAATTATCCGTATTATACAATTTTTTATTGGAAAACTTTGATTTTTTATTTAATGTCAAATACTAGATTTTGTGAGAAAAATATAACACTGAAACGTGGAAAAATTTCAATAAAAAGTGGAATTTTATAAAATAATTGTAATACCTGTTAGAATCATTAAAATTGAATCTCAGTAACTGATTATTTTACAGGTATGATTCAAGAATTTTCTAGGTTTTTGTTTAAAAAAAACAGAAGCAACTTTTCCCAGCTATTCCATGCTTTTTACAGTCAAAATAAAATTCCCTGTTCTTCTTAACCTGTGAGAGCCCTGATCTATCTTTAGACATATAGAGGAATAAAAGTTTGTGCACCAATAGGGGCAGATACTAGAGCAGAGTTCAGAATCATTTTTTTACCAATAAACTTGTAACTGACTTGTAAAAATTGACATACATTCAGAGGATCATATATAATATTTTATGTATTGTTAAAGGTCTAGCTAAAAACCTCTCATTAATTTGTTTAAATTAATACATTAGCAATTGTTTTTCATATTTAGTTTATATCTTTGAAAAATAGAATTTTACATTTGGTCAGAAATTTGTATTTAACGGGTGTGAAGTAAGAGTTCAACTTATTCATCAAATGTACTATTTTGTATTTAAAATAAGGAGTAAACTCATGTACTGGATTAACCTATACTACTGAAAACACTGTAAATATTATGTTATCTTTAGAAAAAGGTAGAAATGTAATTCTCCTACAACCAGTTTTTAATCTTTTTTAAATAAGTAACAAAGATTGTATTTGTGAGGGGAAAAAAATTGAAAGTTAAAGAAGAAAAAATAATTATCAACACAAGGTATTTCTTAAGCATTATGTGAATGAAAATTTTGAAGACAAAAACTTTTTTATTCTTAGTTATCAAAATTTTTTTAAAAACTTAGGTTTGAGTTAGTGAAGTTTCTACTTTTAAAGTGCAAAAGGGCTTTTTAATAGTCAAAATATTCTTTTTTCATAGTAAAACACAAATAAAAAATAAAGGCATTATTTCAGTACCTAAGGTTAAAATGTTAGCTTACTTAAAAGGACTCCAGTTTGTTTTGCTGGTTTTTCTGTGCTTCTTAGCAGCTTTGTCTGCTAAAGATAGTGCTATTCTTTCACGGGCTGATAGGTTAGGAATTTTAAATTGCTGTCCTCCAGGATTTTGTGGAAGGGGTGTATCTCCCCCATCTAAGCGGAAAGGTGTTCCTTCAATTTCACCCCAAGTCATAATTGGAGTATCTGTCACACCTAAAAAAAATAAATAATAATATTGTGATGATAGCTTATTTTACAACTTAAGTTTTAACACTAATATAGTGACAAATGACCCTAACACCATTGACATTAAATTAACTACCAGAATATTCTAGAAATTAAAGGAATTAGTCAAATCTAAATTTATGCAGTTTCTTCATTAATGTTAGTGGTACATATGAACATAAAACTTTTACATGTAAAATTTGTAGTCTCAAACATATCATCAAAATATTTTTCAACAAGGCAAAGATATTTGTTAGCTTCAATTAAACTTAAAGTACAACTTTAAAAAAGTAGAACTTTGAATGCACAACTTGCGACCTGGAGCCAAGTTTGCGACTGTTGAATGGGCAATCTGCGTCACTTACCATCTGCACAAAATATATTTAAGCAAATTAATTTAATTCTTTATTTTTTTTTTTAAAAAAACCACTAGTCTAACTGTTAAATTCCTAAATATAAGGTGCTAAAAGATGGTCATGGTATCTTTCAATGCATTAAATTTTTAAAAAGAATATTCTGTTTAACCAGAAAATTTCATTCAAATATTCATTTAAAAATTAAAGATGTAAGTAATTTATATGCAATAAAAATATTTTTCTATGTAAAAAATTTATAAAGCTGTTATAAATTGATTTTATTAAAGGAGAAACAGATGTGTTAAGATTTTTTTTACTTTAAGAATAATAATGCTGCATAATTTACTCCTTAATTTTTAGAACTAATTTATGGTGTTTTCTTACACAAAGGAATGAATTCCCTCATTATGGCCATTAAAATCATTATTTTCCCCTGATGTTTTTCTCCAAAAAATAAAAAGTTCTTTCCTAATTGAACAGTAAGAATGGTTATAAGAAACGAAGTATAATTTTTAATAACAATTAATATTTTGAATAATTACTGTTTTGAGAATGCTTAAAAATATCTTCTTTATAGAAAATATTTGAAAACATTCTTCATGCAAGCAGAGTTTTCCTTAGGAATAAAAAAGGACAAGGTGCTTCTTCACAGAAAAGGGCATTTTGAGATTTAAAAGGACACTCACTACCATTAAAATTTATCAAAATGTGCAATATTATGTAACAACTGAATTTGATCCTCAATGTTTAAATTACCCTTATACTATTTTATGTGTATATTTCCCAAAGTACTTCTCACTCATTATATCAAAATAACAGAAAAACTCGAAGCTTTTAAAAAATAATTAAAGGCAAGCTAAAAGACAATCTCTGTAATTTTCTTCAAAAAGAGTAAACTAAGATTGATTGATAACTAGAAAGCATTTTTTAAATTTTAAACTAAAAATTATGAGAATATAAACATTTAAAGGTGCCTTTTTAATTAAGGTATTTATTTATTTAAAAGTAAATGGTAAAATCACTAGAATATCACTCATCAATATATATTCCCCTCCTTATTTGTGATATCTTCAGGGATGAGAGTAGTCAGAAAGTAAAAAAGAGGAAATCCAAGAATGAAGGAATATAGGTACGTATATATATATATAACACAAAAATTTGACGAAAAAAGTGCGATTTTAGCCATGTGATTATAAATCCCGATGATTAATTTTAAAATTGTATGAATATGAAACTCTATATCGAATTTTAAAAAATGCGAAAATACAAATCATGATGCGTAATATTTAGATCACGTAAATACGAATCACAATGCATAATTTTTGAATCGCGTGAATACAAATCACAATGTCTAATTTTTAAAGCACGTATAATTACGAAAATCGACGTTTGATATTACAACCGCAATAGCGAATCACGACATTGGATTTTCAGCTCACGTGAATATGAATCGCTACATAGAGTTCTAAAAGCGTATAAATACAAATCGCTATATTGGATTTTTAAATCTCAAAAATAAGAATCGCAATATTGGATTTTTAAATCTCAAAAATAAGAATCACAATTTACGATATTTAAATCGGCTGAATAAGAATAGCAACGTTCAACTTTCAAATCCGGTCAATACGAAAATCGATGCTTGATAATAAAATCGCGATTTTAAAAATGCATAAATACAAAGCGCGATATTGGATTTTCAAATCTCGTAAATAAGAATCATAATGCACGATGTTTAAATAGCGTAAATAAGGATCGCAATGCGCAACTTTTAAATCAGGTAAATACGAAAATCGATGATTGATATTAAAATCGCGTGAATAACAATCGAGATATTTGCAGAGTCTGGACTTGGGATTTCTAAAAGACTTGTTAGTATTGTTTTTGTTTAGACGTAATAAATAGAAATTTTCAAGATTAATTGAATGAGCAAATAAATATTTTCACCGCAAATCCACGTTTATATATATATATATATTTTCGTTTGCTTTTACGCCAGACAACAGGGTCACGACGTCTGAATTGCGAAAATACGAGCTATCCGGCGGACGAATAAAAATACGGAAAATCTTATTTTCTGTGTGTAAAAGAGGAGAAAATAGTTAAAATAAGTAAAAATACGGAAGGGTTAGCAGCTAGGACATAGTTTGAATTTTCTGTTTATCTTTGAAAATCGTAAATAAATATAATCATTTTATTTCAAAGATTGAATTTCCAAAAAAAGAAAATTCCTCATAAAATATTTTAACTTGTTCAAAAAACAATTTCCGCGGAAATTAGCGGGAAAAATCTGACAAAAAGCGGAAATCCGCGAATCCGCGGAAGAATCACATCCCTGTATCTTAGGTGCTGAATATCATGTGAATTTTAACTATATAACTAGATAAGGTAAGAAAAATCTTACTAAAATGAAGGAATGAAATTAAAAATTAAAGTTAAATAATTACGAATAACTAAATAAAACCTAAGTTGACATTTCCTTAAAATGGGTAGTTAAAAAAAAAAAAAAAACTTTTTCCTGAAAAAATAAAATAAAAAGGTGGTGTTTCTACAAAATGTCACCATTTTTACAAACACATATTTATAGTGATCAAAGGGCAGGCGGGATGGGTCGCCCTTTTAAAAACGCCTACGGAGAAGACTGACGTAAGTATCATCAAGTAAATCATCAATTTATTTAAGGAATTAACCATGAAGTATAATAGATACCTGGTGAAGGTGCTGGAGTACCCACAAAACCATATCCATTAACTCTGGGTGACTCTCCAGGAATGATTTCCTTCCCGTCTATGCCAACTCTTCCTTCTTTCATTTTGGCTTGAAGAGAAGCTGCCTCTGCTATGGCTTCCTTGTTAGCCTCTTCATCAAAGGGCGGTGTGTCGAATCTCGTGTTGTCATGCATAATTTTCTTCTTATCACCAAATATAAGTTTTTCCTCAGATGTAAACTCAGCTCCTTTATAAAAATAAACAAGACATGACATACATGATTTTTTTAAAATTCAAAATCCAACTAAAAGTCAGAATTACAGATTGAGACTATTCCTTGAAAACCAACAATATATAACAATCATACCTGACTTATCATAACAACGGCATACGTTAGGAAAAAAAAAAGATAAATAGCATCATACATCTACAATTGTTACGAAGAGTATATAAATTAAAACAAAGAATAAAAGGGAAAAAAACAGCTTTTTCTAGGATAAATTATATTTTGAGGGAACAATTCCAGTAGAAATCAGAGCTGTTTTACAATCACTTCAAAAAATTTGAATTTGATTTGTAAGAACAGTCCCTTGCCAAATACAAATTTGTCGAAAAACATATACACAAAATTTAAATTTATAAAAATGACCCTTTTTTAATCTATACTTTACTATTGAGGATGTGAGAAAGGACTCGTTTTAAGAAAATCTGGCAAAAAAGATATGTTCATTTAAGAACAAAAGCAATATTTTAATTCTAAAGATTAAATATTCATCAGACACTACGAAATTAATATATCTTACTAAAAAAATAAAAATATATATGAAATCAGCCATATATTTTCGTATTAGAATCATTAAATTATATATTAATTTGCTAAAATTTCATGCATAACTCAACGATAATTCAGATTTATCAAATGAGTTTTGTTTATAAAATAAAGTTATTTTCAATAATTTTAATTTTCCTCAATTCCAAAATCTTTTTTCTGTACTTCTTAAAGACTAGAATAATGTAAAAATAAAATAAAATAAATTTCAAAACTAATTTAAACTTGAAAAAAAAATCTGGAGTACAGTGCATAAAGTAAAAAATTAAACACATTAATAACTGAGAACTTAGATTTAAATATAGTCATTAAATGTTCAAAATCAGACAAAAAAAAAAAAAAATTCCACCGGATAGTTTTTGATTTTAGACTATAAAAATATATGGCAGTAGCTGCAGTAAGGAAAATATGGTTTCTTTAGTTAAGTCACAAGAGCAGACAAAATGTTTAGTCCATTTTAATCACCATAATTAAAACAACAATTCGAAAGAAGTCCTTAGTTTTTAAAAAATAAAAATTAAAAATGCTATTTCTTTGAATTGATGAAAAGCACAAAAAGGCAGATATAAACTTTCAACTGTTTTCGAGATTCAAACTATTGGAATCCTATTTTTAGACTTTCTCTACCTCCCATATCTTGAGGATTCAAATATGCCGATGAAATAATGTTTATTCACACAAAGTATGTTTTTTACCTGATCTTGTAACTCAAAATATCGTCTCTTCAAATGAATTTGCACATTTGAAGTCAAATCCTCAAGATTGTATCCTACATGAAAATCTGATTCATAGATTATAAGATATCCAGTTGTTCTGCTTATTTTTTTAGCACATTGTGATTCGTTTGTTGATTAAATCACAATAAAATCATTGATTTAAAAATTGTCAAAATATTTTAATAAAAGATCATTTTTGAAGTGGTAAAATTTAATGCTTACTTTAATGTTTCAATAAGTTTCGATTAGCAAAATTATCTTAGTTAATTTGAGTGAAATAAATTACAATCGCTTTTGAAATGACATTTTAAAAATATTATGAATCTTGCAAATAAAAAAAAGGCAAACTTAGAATAAAAGAAAAATTTAATACAGTTATTTAATATAGATAGTTTTTAAGTTTATAAAAAAGGAAATTAATCTTATGATTTGTTTTGCTAGTTTGTTTTTCAGTAGTGAATAATGATATCGAATCATACATTTTAACATATAATGCANAAAATATTTTAATAAAAGATAATTTTTGAAGTGGTAAAATTTAATGTTTACTTTAATGTTTCAATAAGTTTCGATTAGCAAAATTATATTAGTCAATTTGAGTGAAATAAATTACAATCGCTTTTGAAATGACATTTTAAAAATATTATGAATCTTGCAAATAAAAAAAAGGCAAACTTAGAATAAAAGAAAAATTTAATACAGTTATTTAATATAGATTGTTTTTAAGTTTATAAAAAAGGAAATTAATCTTATGATTTGTTTTGTTAGTCTATTTTAGTTAATAATGATATATTTTTTATTTCCTTTTTAATAAATATGAATCATAGATTTTAACGTATAATGCAGCAAATATAGTTTGAAATATATTATAATTAATTTTTTTTTCAAAATAAAAATATAAACTCTGCAATGTATAAAAAAATAAATAAATAAAAAATAGAAGAAAATTATCCACCAACTTACCATCAGGGACATACATTAATGCATTTTTGTTTTTATAAGCCCAAGTAACAAGCTCCGGTTTTGATTTTTCAATAGCATATTTTTCTGTTGTAGGCAATGCAAGCAAATCTTCTATCTTCTTTTGTTCTGCTTCTTCATCTTTGTATAACCATGGATATTTCTGTTGATGAACTTGTTTAGACTTTTCAATGATTACTTGGAAAGAAGCATTATCTTCACTGGTAGCTTTTGCTAAAAATTGATCTAAAGATTCCTTACTCTTTTCACTGCCTAAAATATAATTAAGTTTTTCAAAATAATGATTACATTACATTACATGTTAGATATTTTAAAATATAGTTTGGTGATGACAAAAAGACAGTCTTATCAGAAAAACACCCAATATTCCTTCCAACCCAGTAGCTCTTCTTTTTTCACTTTTTATAATTTAGGTTTGACCATTATCAGAATACAAAAAATGAGACCTTTAATTATTATTTATCAGTCACACAAAACTTTTAATTCTAAGTGACACAGAACCAGAACTTAAACCAACCAGACAATGAGAATCTAAGTCCATATGAAAACATTATTGAAAAGAGGTGTAATCAAGCTCCTGCTCCCTTCCATGTTTTAGTTACTAATATGCTGAATCCAAAACACAATAAAAAAAGATTTTCTAAATACACGAGGAAAGAGGCAGAAAATTGGGTTTCTAAAAAAAAACTGCTGATTCTAGTTCTGCATTTCAGAATAAAAAATCAAGTGTGTACCCACACTCATTGTTTAATGAAAGGGTGGTAGTGAATACAAAAGAATTTGCCATTTTATGGTTCAGTTAGCTGTCTGTCCAGCAAGCTCAGCAGCTATTGACTGCAGGTTATCTATATTTGGACTTATTTGGTCTATATTGCAAAACAGTACAGGTCCTGAAAAAGCTTGTTGAAGTTTATAGACATTCAACCAGTGAAGCAGAATTTAATTTAAAATCTAATTAAAAAATACAAAATTAGTAACATACAAAATTTAATTGAAAAGTTTATTCACTTTATTTAAAATTATACATACACAGGGGTCTGTTCAGACATTTTGTAAAAGGTCCGTTTTTCGTGAAATTGTGAAAAAATGACTCACATTCTATTAACTAGGGTCCGCTTTTATGAATTTGTGCAAATAGGGTCCGTTATTGCAACAAAAAAAACTTTTTCAAGGAGTTTTTAAATTGTAAAGACATACAAGATTATGTTCAACACTGTAAAATTATAATTAAAAAATTAAATTTTAAAAAATAAACAACAATTGCTGCTTCTGAATTAGAGATGCAACCTACAAATATTTGGTATTTAGCCTATGCTGCTGAACGCAGAATATTAATTTCGGACGAATAATGGAAGAATCGTCTGCTGAAGATAAAACTTAATTCGTTTACTGCATCCATCTTTCTTGTTTTCTGCCCTGGAAAGGGTTTATTCGATTAACAAAATAATAATGAAGATAAACAAACTTGTAAAGGGTCCGACTAAAAGAAAAATCATTTTGTGAAGGGTCCGTTTTTAAGTTAAAAATTTTTGTGAAGGGTCCGTTTTTATGAAAAGATATTTTGTGAAGAATCCGTTAGCGGACCCAAATTTCTTCTAAACAGACCCCTGATACAACTTTTGCTCTTCGAAAATAAAAAAAAAGATAATAAAAATTACTAATAAGTAAATTCCTAATATTTAATCAAAAATAAAATAATACTTACTAGGTTTTATGGGGTTGCGGTGTAATTCTATTTCACTATGAGTAGGAGAGCTATTTAGTCTTATATCTGGAGTCTCAAAAGTAGATGGCGTGGAAACTAAAAGAATCATAATATTAAACTATTAATTTTTATAATTAAACTGGAACATCAAGTCTTAAAAAAATAGGAATCTAAATAATTATGCTCTAATGCACACTATAAACATTGAACACAAAGTTAACACATATATGAACAAGTCTATAAATAATAATATTAAAAAAAAAAAAACTTTCAAAAAGAATTTAATACATTGCAAAAGTAATGTAATGTTTTTAAGGAAAGTACAACTGTTATTTATTTAAATTGAACAACATCAAAAAGGAAGTAAGGAATTAATAAATATTTAGTTTTTTTTTTTAAATTTTCTATTTTAAATGTTATTCTAGGTAAAAAAAAATACAGAAGTTGTGGGTCAGGATGTAACACATAGACCTGAAAATTTAAAATTTTAATTAGTAGCCAGAGGCTGGTAGACTCAAAAACTTAGTATAGTAATTTTTTTCCTCAAACCCCCTTTTGGTGACCAATAATTGATAATAGCCAATTTTTACAAACTCTTTTTATTTGGATTAAATTATATTTTTTAATAAAAATGTTATTAGAAATAATCTACAGCTATTGAAAATTAATTCACCAATAAAAATAATATAAATATGTGACAAAATTGAGATAAGAATTTAAGTTTAGATAAGAAATAAGGACTTTAAAGAATTTATTCATAAATATTTAGGGAGGCAAAATACATTCATTGTATAGATTACAATTTTGAAATATGTAAATTGTTAAAGAACTTTCCTTTCATATGAATCTTTCCATTACAAATTGATTCTAAAGGACTAAAATTTGGGGGGAAACAGTTTGCATGTTAATGAAAATTCTGCTTTTCAGACTCTTTCTGCATTTTTACCATACAATAATTCAAAAAAAANAAAAAAAAAAAAAAAAAAAAAAAAAAAAAAAAAAAAAAAAAAAAAAAAAAAAAAAAAGAAGATCGGAATAAGTGAATAGTTGTTTATTTATTCAAAGTCGTCATTTTTTTCGTTGACTCACCTTGGCACGCCGGTTATTTTCAGGTCTAGAAACACACAACATTCAACACATATTCCTTTTAGCAGAATTTATTGAGTCGATTTGCACGAATTCAAATTTGTCAGCAAAAGCAACTCAGCCAGACAAGAGCTATTGTGAAAATGTTGTAATCCAGGATAGAAAATAATTAGCAGTGCTCATTGTCGTGCTGCGGGGTTCTGTCACAAAGTGGATCAATTTTTAAATTTGATTTTCAGATATCACAGATTTTCAAAGTTAAGCCACTGCTAAGTCTCACTTATTATTTGACAAACTTGCAAAATACTTTATTATTTAATATTGAATTTTGAAAAGAAAATCCGTTTGTATTTTTTAAATCAAACACATGAAGTGCATTAAGCACTTACAATAAGATTATTCGTTCATCTCAAGAAATATTACAGAAAATCGGAAAATATTTTAACACATATTATGCACATAATATTTTAACTAACCACATTAAAAAGCTAAAGTTTCAAGTCAGAGAATAAAAAAATAAATAAATAGAAATTACTCTTCTTACACCAGGCAAATTTAAAATTTTAGTAATTACATTTTTAATAAACTTGTAAACCGCACTGTAAATCAATGTTGTTTTGCAATATTTTTATGATATTACGTACTACATTAATATTTCAAGTTAGAAATCATCACTTACCTGCTTTACTCAGGACTGTTCCATTTGTTTTTCTTTGGCTGTTATATTTTTTGTGCCGAATGGCTTTTAGATTTTCGATATTTTTATAACTAGACGTAGTGTTTTTAAAAATAGTACTTCTTTATAAAATTAGCTATAAGTTTTCTGAAAATAGTAATTTAGCTGTTTTTGTAAAACAAAAAAGAAAAACTAGCCTTTAGTTACCTGTGGATGTCCTACTAAAATGATATAATGTAAGTTTCATAAATTGTGGATTGATCTCATGCAAAAATTAAGCTATGAAGAAGGAATACCGAAGAGTAATGCTGTAAAAGGCTTTTCCATTTCGTTAAAAAAAAAGTTTAAAAATGCATCAAAAATCAATATCACACATGAAATGCGTACATGCCAATAATAACACAAAAATTTTGTAATTAATTAGAAAGTGAAATACATCAGGGGTCTGTCTAGGTTTTTCTGAGAGGTACCTATTTTGTGAAAATTTAGACATAATTTGAGTAAATTAAAAATTATATTAAAAACTTAACACAAAAATATGGATCTATCGCTTTTTAAGGGATGAAAAAATAAAAATTTTAAGAAAAAGTATTTTGCGAAACTACCGTTTTTCCTAAAGTTGAATTTGTGAAGGTACCGCTAAACGGTAGTAAATTTGGCCTGTACTGACCCCTGTACATCCAAACATAACTTCTTTTTTGAAGTACAGTAGGGAACAGATTATCCGGAACGATCTGGACCATCACTATTCCGGATAACTGATTTTTCCAATTTTCTGAATCGCTACAAAAAGGCGTTTTTTTTCATTGTTAATCCCAACTAAAAAAAATTTTTTTTGGAAATAATCTTAAAAAGAAGAAAAAACGATGGAGTAATACACTAATGATTATTTCCAAAATGATGGTAAGGTAAACATCTTTGAAAAAAGAAAGAAAAATCCTAAAATCTCATGAGGAATTTTTTTAAATATTTTTTTTTTTTTTTTTTAAAAATGATGGAAAAATTTGTCGAATTTCGTTCCGGAATTTTGGTTTTCTGATTTCCGGATAACGGGTTCTGTACTGTAATTAAAACTAGAGAATAAATAAATGCATTTAAGCAAAATGATTAATTAAATCAAAAAAACAAAAATAGTATATAATTAAGTGATTGTAAATTAGAATGATCGATAACTTAAAAAATTAATACCTAGATCTCTGACAGAGCTGACTCTACTTCTGGTACTTTCACTAAGTTGATACATAAGTTGAATCTCTTGCATTTTGGCAATATCTCCTTTTTCAACAGCATCTAAGTAATTATTTTGAGCAGTGAGTTTTGGTAAATCTGGGAAAAAATCTCTTGTTATAATTTTTTCCATTTCCTAAAAAAAAATANAAAAAAAAAAAAAAAAAAAAAAAAAAAAAAATACAGGCATATAAAGATACTTATTTTATTCAAATTACACTATGAAATGCGTCATAGCAGAAAAGCCCTAATCACATAGAAATTTTTTAATGAAAAGGAGAAAATGCTAGAAAAAAAATTATTCAACTAGAAACTTAAAATCTCATAGAAAAAGCAAATTTAACTTTTGAAAATTTACTATTATTTTATCTAAGCAATGTGCAATGTATAATGACAAATATTTAAATAATAATGAAAACTAAATAAAATTCTTTACATTTTTTACTTAGTTAAGAACTAAATTATCTTCAATTGATATCATAATAATTTATTTTTCAAGTAAGAAATAAATTACTGGCAATTCTCCAATTCAGTAAACATATTTGACATTTTAACATTGGTTTAAGAACTAGATTGTTTTCAAGAAAGTAATATAACTTGAGAGTACCAAAATGTTTCAACTATCATATTCCATTTTACAAAATAATGAACCAAACTTAAAAATTGGAAGACAATAAAAATGAAACGTACCTGTTGCAATGCAAAATAAATATATTTTAATTTTACTTTCATTTAAACTAACTGTAAACCTGTTTTTTGTAAAGAGTAAAATGGTCATAAATAAATCTGCCACTGCATATTTATGCACAAAACTGAATGCATAAATTGAAGCAAAATAAAAAAAATTAAATAATATAATTTATATAACTATTATTTGATACCTTTCTCGTTATTTTTAAATTATAAGATTATGAAAAGAACTTCAACTTATCAAAAATATTAAGTATTATTTCTTGGCACCAAAATTAATCATATTGATCATAGCAAACACATAAAATAAAAAATTTACCACAATCAAGTTTTGATGACTTTGCACAGAAGTACATAACATACTAATTTTTTCTTATTATAACTACTATTAATTTTTCATTATTTAGATTTATAGAAACAGGTTTAAAATTTTTAATTATAACGAAAATAAACACGATTTCAGATTCAGTTTTGACTCAGTACATGATTCAGATTTGGTTTTTTCGGTACACGATTTAGGTTTTTTTAGTGACTGAGCGGTAGCGCTCTGCGCTGTTGTGCCACAGGTCCCTGGTTCGAATCTCGGGCCGGGCAAGGCTGACTCAGCCTTTCACCCCTTCAGTGGATCCATAAATGAGTACCAACTAAACACTGGGGGTTCCACGTTCGGCTGACCACCTGACCGGAGCATCTGCTCCTGCACCCCNCCAGAAGGGGGGGGGGGGGCTTGGGAGGTCAAATGATTGAGTTTACCTAAAATTTAATAAATACTTACTTACTTTAATTAAATACTTTTCTTAATTTAATAATAACTATCCCATCCCCCTTCCAGCAAAAATTTTCTAGTTGCGCTACAGTCTTAAAGGAAAGAAACAATAAACGGGAAGAAAAATAAAAGAAAAGATTCTTAACAAAACATTCATTTTTTTCATTTATCTTTTTTGGATTTTTTTTATTTCGCGCGCATTTCTTATCATCTTGCTCGTTAAAAGAGACTTCTGTTCCATAGATTTAACATTGATCCAACCAAATATTCTCGTTTCCCCTCGTTAAATCCGAGCTCGTTATAAACGAGTTCGACTGTACATGCAAACATAGCTTTTTTTTTCGAAGTGATTAAAACTAGAGAATAAATAAATGCATTTAAACAAAAAGATTAATTAAAAAAAATAAATAAATAAAAGTATATAATTATGTGATTGTAAATTAGAATGATCGATAACTTAAAAAATTAATACCTAGATCTCTGACAGAGCTCACTCTACTTCTGGTACTTTCACTAAGTTGATACATAAGTTGAATCTCTTGCATTTTGGCAATATCTCCTTTTTCAACAGCATCTAAGTAATTATTTTGAGCAGTGAGTTTTGGTAAATCTGGGAAAAAATCTCTTGTTATAATTTTTTCCATTTCCTAAAAAAAAATACACACGTATACATATGCATATAAAGATACTTATTTTATTCAAATTACACTATAAAATGTGTCATAGCAGAAAAGCCCTAATAATATAGCAATTTTTTAATGAAAAGGAGAAAATGCTAGAAAAAAAATTATTCAAACAGAAACTTAAAATCTCATAGAAAAAGCAAATTTAACTTTTGAAAACTTACTATTATTTTATCTAAGCAATGTACAAAGTATAACAGCAAATATTTAAATAATAATGAAAACTAAATAAAATTCTTTACATTTTTTACTTAGTTTAGAACTAAATTATCTTATAATGATATCATATAAATTTTTTTTTCAAGAAAGAAATTACAGGCTATTCTCCAGTTCAGTAAACATATTTGACATTCTAACATCGGTTTAAGAACTAGATTGTTTTCAAGGAAGTAATATAACTTGAGAGTACCAAAATGTTTAAACTATCATATTCCATTTTACAAAATAATGGATCAAACTTAAAAATTGGAAGAAAATAGAAATGAAACGTACCTGTCACAATGTAAATGCATAAATTGAATGCATAATTTGAAGCAATAAAAAAATTAAATAATTTCATTTATAACTCTATTATTAGTTACCTTTCTCGTTAGTTTTAAATTACAAGATTATGAAAAGAACTTCAACTTATCAAAAATATTAACTATACTCAGTATTATTTCTTGGCACCAAAATTAATCATATTGATCACAGCAAACACATAAAAGAAAAAATTTACCACAATCTAGTTTTGATGACTATGCACAGAACTACATAAAATACTAATATTTTCTTATTATAACTACAATTAATTTTTCAGTATTTAGATTTACAGAAACAGGTTTAAAAATTTTCATTGTAACGAAAATAAACACGATTTCAGATTCAGTTTTGATTCGGTACACAATTCGTTTTTTTTTTTTTAGTGGCTGAGAGGTAGCGCTTAGCGCTGTTGTGCCACAGGTCCCTGGTTTGAATCTCGGGCCGGGCTAGGCGGACTCAGCCTTTCACCCCTTCAGTGGGTCGATAAATGAGTACCAAGCATGCTTGGGAACTAAACACTGGGGGTCCCGTGTTCGGCTGACCACATGACCGGAGCATCTGCTCCTGCACCCCAGAGCCCAAGGTCAAGAAAACTGAGATGGGCGCAGTAGGCCTTGGTCCTCTATGGGCTGTCGCGCCGCTGAGGTTAGTTCATTTATTTATGATAACAAATAGCTTACAATTTTGATAATACTAAACAATAAATAGGATATTTTATGTTACACTGGAGAACTTAAATATTATATTATTATTACTGGTATTTTCATCGAATCCTTATAGATTATTTGTCGGCATTTAGTGAGCTTAGTGCTTATTTTTAAATTTTAATAAATTAGACTAAAGAGATCGTTTAAGCATTATAGCAGTATTAACTTCATATTCCAAATGTGGTAATTCCTATATATATATATAGTTATAAAAAAAATATACAATGCATTTTTTTAACCTGCATATAAATACAAATTTGGAATAGAGCCCATTAGGGATATTGCCTTTCTGCCCCAACTGAAATCGCCAAAGAGCTAAATGAAATTATATAAAATGAATTCTCATCAAATTGAAATTAATATTGTAGTTGGAAGAAATTAAAGAAAAATATAAATTATCTTGTTCAAGCTTGTTATGAGTTTTACCTTTTAAGTCATTGTTACTACTTCATTCTATCTTATTTGTTTTAGTTTCTCATGTGCCTCACTGATTATTTAGGTCATGGGTCGCCAAACTTTTTCATCATCGACCCCTATATAATTTTTCAAAATCTCCATCAACCCCCATAAAAGTCATTTTCCGTTAATTAAGATAAAAATCTATTAGATACTGTGTTTGTACATTTATTTCATGATTTAAACATTTATTCAAGTAATAGTACATTGTGTAACAATAGTTTTATGAAAAATATATTAATGTTGAAATTTAAGTACCTTAATATTTATTAAATAATAAGTAATTATAAATAAGTGGAAATAATAAGTAAAGTAACTACAGATTTATTGCTTCTTAACCAATGAGATGAGTGTGCCTGGTGTTTTTTTGCAAGGTTCGCTATATTGGGTTCAAAACTGGTCAATTTTAATTTTAAATCCCCACGTAACTCCATATTTAATTTATTTCTGTACTTAGTTAAGATTGAATTTACGTGACTGAAACCGGCTTCAACCATATAGGAACTTGGAAAAGCTAGCATAAAAAGGCTGAGTTATTTCATAAAGTTCTACATATTTTTGCATTATATTTATATTTGTTCAAAATTTACTTATTGTTAAATTTTTAAAAAGCGTCTTTGCTTCAAGATCCGATAATAATTCAGCCAACTCATCTTGCAGGTTGATGTCCACGTTTTTGATGATGCGTTTATTAATTTATGTTCCATAAAGAAACTGATATTAAGTCAATTATAAAAAAAATTCACAAATTTTGCATACTCAATTAGATATTTGGGATTTACGTATTAAGAACAGTTTTTTATTCGACCCTTCCGATTCGGATCGACCCCCAGGCTCAGATCGACCCCTAATTTTGTTCAATAGACCCCTGGGGGTCTATATAGACCACTTTGGCGACCTCTGATTTAGGTGTAGGAGTAGGTAACAATATCGAAATCTTCCTAATGAACTCAATCTTTGTTTATTTTGACTGTTGGTTTGAAGCAAGGTTAAATAAATGGTTCAATAATGTTTAAAATAAAACTTATTATTAAAAGTATTCATCAGAAAACTTTTTTAAGAATAAATTAATATTTTTAATATACGGTTTAAAATTATACAATTTTGTTTCATTAATATGCAATCATTATAAAAAAAAGAAAAACAGAAGATCTAAAAAATTTTAATACATAACGTTAGAATTCAATTTAACAAGCAAATAAACACTTCAAATTTGCATCAATTTTAGTAATCAGGGGTCTGTCTAGGTTTATCTCATAGGTACCTATTTTGTGAAAATTTAGACATAATTTGTGAAAATTAAAAATTCCTATATTAAAAAATCAACACAAAAATATGGTAAAAATATGGATTTATCGTTTCTTACCGGATAAAAAAATAAAATTTTAAGTAAAAGCATTTTGTGAAACTACCCTTTTTCCTAAAGTTGAATTTGTGAAGGTAAAAGGTAGTAAATTTGGCCAGGACAGAGTGGCTTATGATTTAATACTTGGCTTGTCAGTAATGAAACATAACATAACATAAACATTATTTNAATGCATGGCAACTGTTGGTAGTTTTGAAGTTTATATATTTTCTTGGCAAACTTCAGTTTTTGACATTTTTGACGGGTTTTTGACGGTTTAAACCAGTATTATACCCTTGTCATGTCAAAAACCACTTTTTGACGTCTAAAACCCAACCCTGGTGAAAATTTATACATAATTTGTGAAAATTAAAAATTATATTAAAAAATCAACACAAAAAAATGCAAAAATATGGATTTATCATTTCTTAAGGGATACAAAAATAAAATTTTAAGAAAAAGTATTTTGTGAAACTACCGTTTTTCCTAAAGTTGAATTTGCGAAGGTACCGCTAAACGGTAGTAAATTTGGCCTGGACAGACCCCCGATGCACCATAAAATAAAATATATATACCTGCCAACTTTTACTCTTTTTAAAGGACAAATTTCTTAAATGGTAGTAAAAAAATAATAGAAATGGTAGCTAAAAATATTCATTCACTTTAATGGGTCAATTCATTTACATGTGGTCTGCAAAATCATTTTTATTTTAATTTATCTTTTCAATAATTTTATAATTATCTAATATTCAATAATCAGCAAAAAATATTTTTGTTTTTAAGAAATCTACTTAGAGAAACCTTTCAACTTTATTCCAATATCGCTTTTTGAAATAAAAAGCAAATTTTTAGAAATATAATAGCTAGTTATTTTACAATATTAAATGATCTATGCAAATTGACCTACGAATTATGGAAAAATTACTAACCACGTAATTCAATTGCTTTGATGTTTCGAGAAAAAAAATCTCCTAAAATTCTTAAAAAATATAAAGCACTACATTTCATTTTTTAAAGTTATTCCTGCAGCCTTATACTCGCATCTTATTTTATAACCCTCGTAAAATAGCGGACCCAACTTTTGGGTGTATGACTATTAATGTTCAACTCCGTAGCATTATAATTTTTAACCGATTCCAGAAGACAAAGTAACTCCTAGAGCAAGTATTGGGAAAAATTTGCCTTTGCGGAGAACTTTTTGATGGAAATAACAAACATTTATGTTAAATGGAGATGAAACTGGCCTGAAGGCAAGGGCACTGTAACCCATGCACCACTGAGGATATTTTACGCCAGCACTGTGGTTGGCACAAGCTGGGTGTGGAATTTGTATTGATCAGCCATCGCTAGAGTTCGAACCCAGTTCACCTTATTGGAAGGCGAAGGCTCTATCTCCTGAGCCACCACGGTTATAATTAAGATAAAATTAATATTTTTTCTTATGGTGCTATTAAAGTTTAAACTACACATAAAATGGTAATTACATATTAACGCAACCAGGTCAAAAATTCGCATAAATCGCCAAATTTGGCGACCCTACTTACGGCAACCCTACGTGTTACATGCGGTTTTTCGTAAAGAAACAAAATAATATTAAATAATTTTGTTTTAATAATAATTTGATAATTTTAATAATAATTAATAAATAATAATTTTGTTTTAATAATAATAATTTGTTTTAATAATAATAATTTTGTTTTAAATAATTTTAAAACAAAATAATATAAAAAACTGTATTAAAAAATTATCTGTAATTAATAAATGTACATTTTCTTTCTATTCATACTTTCTTACTCAAACCTACAAATCGCGCCAACCTGGTTGCGATAATACGTAAGTACCCATAAAATTATTACAAAATCAAAAAGACTTAAACAATAAAAACAAAAGCTTTGTTCTTCAAAAATACTTTTTGATTTCAAATAGCAAATCTTGCTTTAAAATCCAATGTGTGTATTAATTTTATCTACTTTGTGATTTCCTCTGTTTAGAAGCAGTAATAAGTTAGATGTGAAGAAGTGGTAAAATAAGATAGCATGAATAATAATGTGACTATCTTTTTATAGTGAAGTTGCTATACGAAATAGGTATAGTTTTTAGCAATATTACTCATATTGGTACTAATATTTTTTCTATTTAACAGGTGGTTTAACATAAGAAGGGCTCAAGGGTGACGAGTAGTGGAAAGGTTTGGAACTTAAATTATTATTCGAATGTATGTAGTTTCTCTTTATATCACAATTCTTTTTTAAAGACAAGTTAACAGAGAAGTTTTAGTCTGAAATGTTTTTTTTTCATGTGAATTTTATAATGCAAGAAATATTTAATACACGACAGTGATGTAATTTATGAAGAGAAGTGTTAATGTCAAAATTAAATAACGACATGAAGTAATCATAAAAAAAGAAAGAAGTTCAATACCTCTGTGTATTCTTCTTCGCTCAATATTTTTTTAGCTTTTCGTTTCGCAGAGGTTGACAGTAAGCTTATTTGTGACGAAGAGGTGGACATGACAGACATATCTGTCTTATCAAGACTCATTTCAAGATAAATTTTAAATATTTATATATTAAAATTAACGAGGTTATACATGGATTTATCCACTCAAAACCAAATGTCAACCAAAACCAAACGTAAATAGAATGATTTCACTTCATTTTGAAAAATGAAATTTTAACAGGGAAAGTGTTATTTGCTTGACCTAACTCGCATTTTATGAGCTATTCACACTGTATCGTTTGAAACATAGTGCTAATGCATAGAAATACTGATTCCGATTGACACACATGAGGTTAAATTTTTGGAACCGTTCACACTCGATGAGAGTTTCAACTCTGATCACCGTCGAGAGAGAAGGAGAACCTAATTTGTAAGTGTTCACTAGAAAATATATTTCTTCCTGGATGATGCTATCGTCTGTTCTATATACGTCACACTAGAGCTGGAGAATGGGCCATTTGTGGTGGTGTGGAAAACATCCCCGAGGATGATTTGGAGACAGCATGCATACGTCACATCCCATTTTTCAATGAGAACACATTCACATACCATCCATCCTCAGATCGTTATTTTGACCTGAAGCAGAGTAGGATCATTCTCAGCTACTATACTGAGAACTTGATGACTTTGTGATCCCGATACAGATCTAGCGTGCACCACTCACCATAATGTAGTACGGAGGGGTACGGTGGACTGTTTTCTCAGCATGTGATTCACTGACATTTTATTGAGTTATGAGATATTGACGGTTGATATTTTGTCAGGAAAATATATTTTATTAATTAGGTCCTTAGTATCCGCCAACGGCAATCAGATGTGCGAAAATACAGTGAGAATGGTCCATAAATCACATGCAGTGAGATTGGCCCTTATCAACCCATCGCGCCAGTCCTGTGCTTCACTATCTCATTAGTGAGTAATATTTTAATCATCATGACTTTACTATTTGGTTTTTGCACCCTTTCTCACCCCCAATTCTACTCCCACTTCACACATTCCCCCATTTGTGTGGCTCAAAAAATCCGACGAATCAGTTAATGCCGTTTCGTGGCAGCGCACTCAGATTTGAGTTTTGAAAGTATTGGAGAAAGTAAGCAAAGCAATTGGCTCGTTTTTAGATTTTAATTCGGCACCACTTAATAAAATCTCTTACTAAAGCGGAACAGTTGGCATTTTTGTTCCATCATAGAAAATTTTAAAGGCTTCATAAAAAAAAATCTATTAAAACATTTCAATTCCGTAGCGGTGGAAAACCTGGTAAGGAGTCTAGAGGGTTTTTCTGACCTAAACTTTCGCTTTTTTTAGGTAAAAAAAAATTATAACCCTTTTTATCCAATGTAGTTTGACATTGAGTATAAGATGACTCTAAAAAACTTCCTAAGTTACAATTAAATTACTGAAACCATCTCCCTGACTTGTCTGCAGACTCCGATATTTTGTATAAAATCATTTGCATTAACGTGGTCTTTAAATCAGCTTTTTTTTCTTTTTTAATTTCGATTTTTGTGGTGCTTAAGTATATTCAACTTCTAATAAAGTCATTAAGATACTGAGTCATTAAGATACATCATGATACTGAGTCATCTTGATACTGGGTTGAGTTTTTTCTTGATAGCTGGTCGAGAAGAACAATTTGCTTCAATATATTCTAGTGGTTGAAAGTTGCAAATATTTTATTTATTTATTGATTAAAAATATTTTTTTTTATGCAAATCGAAATAATTAATTTTCTTTAAAGTTCATGAAAAACTTTTTAAATTTCAATTATTTTAAGCTAGCATGGTTTCTACTATGGGATAAAGTGCATATTTGACATAAAATTAAAATTACTTGTAAGTCATTAACATTATTTTCATGACCTTGATTGTGAGAATCAGACGCAATGGCAATAATTTTTCTTTAATATTTCATCTGTAATAAAAATTAAATTTAAAGTATTTGGTATCATTTCACGAAAATGTCCGGTGAATAATTTAGAATCATAAGTCAACCTATAAGGCAACCTATGAGAAGTCGAAAAAAGTTATACATATATGCTTTCTCGAAGAAATCGAAAGCAAGATTATCATCGATAATGCAAGATTATCATCGATAGATATTCAAATAGAAAATAAAATTTTTAATCTTATAAAATTGTTTTTTTATTTTATTTTTATAATTAATAAGAAGATATTTTTTAGACTATAACTACACCTGGCTCTCTCCTCCATTACGAAGACTCTGAAAGAAAAAAAAAAAGCTGGAATTCTTATTAATACTATGTAGATATTTTTAGAAGAAAAAATTCTCATTTCGGAAACATAACATGCTCTTTTTTAAACAAAAGATATAAAAAAGGGTAATTTGGAATTTATGTCAAAGAAACAAGAAATTTATGTGAATTATATTAATTTAAATACATTTATTATCGCATGGTATATCGCATAATATCGCGATTTCCTTAGAAACAGAAAGGTAGCTGACACAAAAGGTATCTGATATGAGCAGTCATTCAGTTGTTTTGGAGACGTCTTTAATATAGCGTGTAGCATTGTAACGCTCATTCTTTATTGTGGTGGCTTATTAAATTTAAAAAAGAAAATTGTTTGATATTCTTTCTTATGCAAGTGAAAACAAAGTGGTATCTCTTTTTTTTTTTTTTTTAGAGAGGGAACACACCGGAAAAATATTTGTAAATAAACAGAAAAAAATATGTATCTTCTTATTAGAGTTAAAACCTAATGTCTGCGAAATCGTTTTGCTAAATTTAATGATATAACATGAAAGACCTATTTAAACTTTACATTCCATAGTTTTATGAATCATATTACTTCTAGCATTAAAATATGCAAAAAGTATACATAAGCCCATAATTTTATAACATTTAATTTTTCAAAAAACTTTTTTGACAACAATTTTTATCAAAAAATTTTAAGTTTCAATAAAAATCCTTATTTATAAACTAAAAAAAGCAAAATAAAGAATGCTTACGGGAAAAAAAAATAACAATTCTAAAAATTCTTCAAAGTAAAATAAAAAAACTTTCATGTTTTTTTAAATTCTTAATCGGACGTAGAAAACCATTCTATAGGGAACTATCATCCAATTAGAAAAAAAAAAAATTATTATCTACAGCTAAATTTTTTGTTATAAAAATCATAAAGCCTACCTGATTTATAAATCTGGAGAATTCCCACTCAAGACGACCTTATTCAATTTATGACTACCTAATCTATGCCTATTAAATTTAGATGAATCAGTTAGCGGCGCTTCGCGCCGATTACTGAGTTACTATACATTTCCATTCAAGACGACCGCAGAATTCTCTGTGGGATTTTCCACTATTTTAAACATCAAAAATCACGCCGGCCAGGTGGCTGAGCGGTTAGCGAGCCTGCCTGCGAAGCCAATGGCTGCGGGTTCGAATCCCGCACTGGGTATGGATGTTTCTCTCTCTATGTGTTGTCATCTGTTGTGTGTGATGTGTGAATGCGGCCCACCCTATAAACGGGTTTGTGGCAGTGTGGCGTGGGCAATGTTGTTCGCCTCCGTGACTTTGGTTCACAGGTGCCCACTGGGTAACGTGAAATGAGTAAAAATTCCGGCATCTTCTAAGGCGAAGAATAATGTTCAGTGCCTGCCATTTGAAAGGGAAAAAAAAAATATCAGAAATCACACTTGCCCTAGTGCAAAATCTTCATATGTCGGACTGCCATAAAGTGTAGTTAAATGCGCATGCATGTACAACGTAATAATGCATTCGTATAGTAACTATTTTTACAACTATTCGTATTCGAGATTACTTGTAATCGTTAGATTATGATTGCTAGTGAAAATGACTGCTTATAATCGCACATATTGAGTACATTGATTGCTTTAAAAGATTTCGGTCAATTGTTACCATATACCAGTTATAGCGTCTTGTTTTGATTACAGGTAATCATAATCTCTTTTTATCCGAAATCGTTACTCATTAAAATGATTACAAGTTGTTTAATACTATGTAGTACATTTTATTTGTAGTTGTCACTATTGTAGTCAGAATATTTCGTTCCCATTTCTGTTGAGCTGTAAAATCATTCACTTATTCTTGACGAATGAATAAAGAATAATAATTGAAAATAATGAATGATTTATTCAAAATATTTCTGACTAATGAATAAGGAAGAGTTTCATTATTCTTATTATCTGAATGACAAATGCCCATCTCTGATGTAGGCGTTACTATCGATGGTTTTTCCATGCATTCAATTAACTTGCTGATTGCGAGTGTATAAAGTAGGCGTTACGATTTTATTTGCGTGTTGGGCAGAACAAACATTAATTTTCGATATCGCTTCGAATTATGAATAAAGAGTTCTTGGTGGGTGCAAATTATAGATATTCTAAGATTATAGTGTAAAATATTAATTTAGATTGGAACATACTTTTCTTCCTTATCACCTTTGAATTTTAAGATTATTAGTAAAACATCGCTCGCTTTACTCAGTGTAGAAAACGTGATTTTTTTTTGCGTGGCTATTCTAATAAGGTTAAAAAGAGGCTTAAGAAATCGAAATAATTTTTGGTTTGTTATTTCGTTAAATTAAAATTTTAAAGAAAAACAAGAAAAATGCTTATTTTGAAAATGTTAATGTATACAAAACCTAATCCAAGTGTACCACTTTGTTTGATAAAATTTAGTTTTTAACATTTTATTACATTCTTAAAAAACATAGTTCATTCACACTCTCAGTTTTTAAACATTATTAAGCATTTGCCGGGTTTAGTATATCTGGTGAGTGCTGAGCAAGGAAACTTAGATTATCAAAGGCTAAACTAAATCTCCATTCGTATCATTCATTACTACATTACTTGTGCATGAATAAGTAAAGTAGTCATGAAATTGAATTTATAGAATTAGGGTAGTAAGTTAAAGTTTGTCTTAGGAAACTACACATTTCGCGGAACACAACTTCAAAAAAAAAAAAAAAAAAAAAAAAAAAAAAAAAAAANAAAAAAAAAAAAAAAAAAAAACAAAGGAAAAATTATACACTGATTATGAAATAAAGCATACAAAAGAGGGGAATTTTTTTCTTTCTTAAATTTTTTGCAATATTAATATTTTTATTTAAATGGATTGAATTTTTAGAACAAAATACTGAGCATTTTTTAAAAAAAAATTTGTCATTTTTACTTCGCCGTTTATCGCTTAAAACATTTTTATGCTTCAAAC